GAAAGAGTTCATAAGACAAAAAACATTTAAAGCTTAAGAAGGATTTAAAGCTTACATTTGGATAATGAAATAGCAATTTTTCACATTGCATTAAAAATTAATACATAACATTAATTTCTTTGCATAAGCTGTACAAGTTAAAAAAATATTTATTACACTATTACAAAAAAAATATATATCAAATCAAAAGATCGATTTTAATGGATATTAATTTATATCATAAAAAATATTATGAAATAAAAAATATAATTTTTTAAGAAATATTATTATCAATAAGTAAAAGAAAAACGGTTAAATAAATTAAAAATTCTTTTTACAATTATCTGTTATCATATGTTATCTATGATATATGTATAGAATTTTATTCGAGGAAAGCTATGGTATAGTAAAATTATTATTTAACCAATATATTATTGATACAGATCTAATAAAATTATCTATGAAATACTTTTACAATTATTTACAAAAAAAATTTAGTTTATAATATTCAAAATATTAAAAAGTGCCTAAATAATGTACATTATACATGTGATATAGTAAAAAAAAAGACTTTGTTAAAACCATTCAAACATTAACTGCTAATTTTTTAAATGCACCATTAAAAATATTTTTTTCTTTTAGTATATCTTTTCGAATATAAGTAACGGAATTCCAAAATTCTTAATAAACATCTTCCAACGATAAAATTCTATTTTTGAAATCCACTATAACTATTATGAAAAATTAGTTATAACATTAATATTTTACTTACTTAAATTTAAGTATAAAGAAAATCACCTTTTCAAAGAAATATATTACCTTGTATTAGAAAAAAACTAATTATATTAATTTCAAAGTATTTTTTTTATTACTTTTTATTTTTTTTATTTTATTGTTTGTAGTAAATACTGAATTTATAAAATTAATTTAAATATATAATTATGAATATATATAATTAAAAAAATATATATAATTAATATTTTTATCAATGCACTATACGTATTAAATTCCCTAATCATACTAAAAAAAAAACCAAAATAAAAAGTTACTCTGATTTTAAACTATTTATATTAACATAAAATATAATTATTGTATTAATTTAAAATCTGATTAAAGATTTTACCAGGAATTGTATTATTTATTTACGTAATTGTGTAAAAAAAAAATTATTTAAAAACTTTTCTGTATTATACATTTTTTTTAAAGTTAATGGTTTACTGAATGATATTTTAATGACTTTTAAAAAATTAATCAAGAAATTTCATAATCACAAATATATTTTACATTAAGAAAATGAAAAATATAAAATATGGCAAATTAAAAAAAAAAGTAGATTATTTTTATAATTATATTGTATTATTAATTTCATTGTATTTCACTTTTAGAACATTTTTAATTTTTTAATAATCACTTTTGCATTGATTAATTTGTATAAAACTTATGTTTACATCATATAAATATACAAAGTTATGTTAACATTAAATTTTTTAAGCACAAAAATAATAAAGTAATTATATAATGATAAAAATATATAATTTAGGTTATGTATCAATACTTGTCTTAATTTAAAACTTGATTTTAATTGATATCTTAGAAAATTTGATTTTAACATAGAAAATCAATAACGCTCCTAAAAATATACTTAGTATAATTATTTATGATATAACAAATATTATAAAGCGCATACTTCATAATACTTATAGTTATATTGTATCTTATTAATTATTACTATACTTTTTAATACATTTTGCATACCCAGATTTTTAAAATAATTACAGCACATTTTGTTCACTTTACACTTTATGTGTTATGTGTGTGTGTGTGTGTGTGTGTGTGTGTGTGTGTGTGTGTGTGTGTGTGTGTTTATTTACTTATTAATTTACATATTTGTTTCCTAAATTTATTAATTTCAAAGTTAAGAATAGATTAATTATATATAAATTAAGTACATTATTTTAGATAAAATTCAAAATTTTATATTTATTTTACATCAAATTTTTCAAATTTAATACATTTATATATTCTGCATAATATATTGTAATAATAGCTTTAAAAACAAAATGAAGAAATTGAAAATTTTAAATTAGTTAATAAATTCAAATTATTCAATTTATTCAAATGCAATATATTATATATTTACAAAAATATTAATATATTACAAATAAAGTGCATATTGCACATATAAATTTAACATTTTTATCATATATAAAATTTTTAATATAGTAATTTTATTTTAGCATGTTTTATACAATAAATATCTATTTTGATTTTTTTTTTTTAATATACAAAATAATGTAAGGAGTGGTATAACTCAATATTATGTATATGCATTTGAAGAATTAATATTTTTAAATATTAAAGAAAACTTTTATTGATATTTTCATTTGATTATTTAAATATGTTAAATTCATAATATATTTATTTAAATATATATAACAACAATATTATAAATTTGAAAATAATAAATTGTACATATATTTAAAACTTATATTTTATCATAAAATTGTTACATTAAAATAATATGCAATTATCAAAGGTAGTTATTAAAAATAATAATAAAAATTATTTAATAAATAATATATTTAAAAATATTGCATAACATAAATATAAAAATTAAATGCGAAACAAATATCTAAGTAAGCAGAATAAAAAATAAACAGAATAGAATTGTAATTGCTGTACTACAACAGAAGTATGCAAATTTTCAGAACTACCTATGTAGAAGTTAATAATATTAACAGGATGAAAGTTTAATTTCTAGTTCAATTCTTTCATAAAAGGTTTTAAAATGCTCTATGAAAATAGATTATTAGAATAATTTTCTAATTATGTATAGTATATCAAGGAAATTAAAATAATTTTTGAATAATTAACATGCATATCAAATAGCAATTTGACATTTACTTTGTACGTCAATGGGAATGAAATGCTCCATTTTGTGTATCGCCTCGATAGGGTAAAATGCACAGTAGAGACCTTCCCATCATTCCTCAACAACTCGATGTAAGCAATTCGTCGTTGAATGGCTGCATATTTTTCTTCGTTGTTCCAATTATTTTTAAAGTATCTCACGATATCTGACCTAAAACAGCCCTATTTACTTGACTTCCATTTTTATAGATTTAAAAAATATAATTTACAGGTATTTATAAATAAATATATTTATAATATATAATTGTATGCATATATATATATATATATATATATAAAACTAAACTTTATAATAAATATTTTAGTTTTACATATATATTTATCACCAATAAAAGGTAAAATGTATTATTTAATTACAGGCATTATTAGTAAACAATATTAATAATTAGAATATTTTTAAAATTAAAATAATGGATGAATAAATAAATTTTATTTATTTGTTAACCGCATACTTTTTAATATTAATATTAGACAACTATATATTATGTTAAAATAAATAAATTTAATTAGTTTCTTATAAAAAATTGTTGGTAACATTTTATAAGTGAAACAATATACTTAAGATTCATAATTATTTAATTAAATACCCATTTATAAACAGAATCAAGCTTTGAAAATTAGCTAAATTAAAATGTTAAGTTCGTGTTCCAATAAAAGCCTAACACATTTGTAAAAACATAAATTGCTAATGATAAACTGTTCATTAATACAAATTATTCAATTTATAAATTTACATACTTATATAAAAAATATATAACTCTATGAAAATATACAGTCTCTACAAATAATTGTACATTTCTTGATACTTTCCCTTGCACCCCCATAATCCAATCAACAGGTTGTAAATATACCCATCAAATAAAAACAAATAACTTAACTTACTGTTATATTATACCTGAATTATTTATCATTCAAAGTTTGTATAAATATTTTTTAATACAATAAAGAAACTTTTGTATGTTATACTACTTAAAAGCTTTAAAATAAAATTTCACCCTAAAAGTTAAATAATAGGAATGACATTATCATTAAATGTGAACTAAAATATATCAATAATTACAAATCTGGCAAATTGAATTGAAAATCTTGATTGCCTTAGGACATTAATTAAGAAAAAGACAGAATAACGAATATTGTTAATAAAGCTTCATATAATTGATATCATACAATTAATTTTTATGACTAAAACGAATTATTGTATTTTGGAATAATCCTTTCACTCATAAGCACTTTACAGTAACAATTTCTTGAAATTGATTAAACGGGCAATTAAAGGTTTCTATATACAATTGTAATACTACTAGTACTAATCATGAATTTGGGTAATTTTACAAAATTCTTAAAAGATATTAAAAAATACAATAGAGCATATCATCTAAGACTTTAACATGAAATATTAGAAACTTAACCAATAATTAATTTCATATGTATTTAATATCAAGCTTGTGTCAATAAATTTTTGCATGCTCAGACCTAATAATCTATAAGCCTATACAAGGAACACTTGCAGTGTTTGTACACTATCGGTGTAAAGAGTATTCGAATGCATCATTGGAAAAGTAAAGAAGCCTTTGGGAACCTGTCCTATTCTAGCTGTGAACCAAATGCCTTGATAAGAATACATTGTAACTCCAGAAAGAGAGAAAGAAACATCGAAGTAAGACGAGCGAGCGAGCAAGAGAAAAAAGGAGCAAGGAGATACCTCACGTTGTAACCGTGAAGAAAGCAAGATAGACGTATATGCTTCCAGTGAAGACGTCGCGGCGTACCATAGAACACAAGCACACACTACTTGTCGTCCCATAAAAAAAAACATGAAGGGGTTGTGCGCATACACTGCTGAATCGCGTTTCCGAAAATTACGTGACAAAATCTCTTACTCGCATTTTAACGCACACTCGCGCGCACTAGTAGCATGTACACATACATTCGCGCGGTCTCTCTTGCGGTTTCTCTCTCCCTCCCTCCCTCTCCCTCCCTCTCTCTCTCTCTCTCTCTCTCTATTTCTCTCTCTCTCACTCTCTCCCCCTTCTCTCTCTTACTCGTCGTCGCTGCCGCCGCTACCGTTGCCG